GACAGCTGTGGAAAACGTGTACAATAATTGTTTGAAAGAGGTTGTGATTAAACAGGTCTGGACGATTTCTAAATAAGGAAGTCAAGAACGATAACCGTGAATTGCTATTAATACACACAATAAACAAGGCACTAATCCTTCTGACCAATCAGATAACAGCATTACGACAAACCCATGAGAGAATAAATAAAACACGTGGTTTTTAAGTTTTTTGCTCAAAAGATTTTTTTAAAACAAAATTTTTGTAAACTTTATGCGAATTTGGGAATTATATGATTTTTATGACAATTCTACCGCGAACAAACACGAGTTGAGAGCTTGGAATCCGTTTTAAGTGGGATTAAAAATCTGTATCTAGGAGTTAACAATCTCAAAAGTTTACCTACGTTAAAAAATTGATATAAATACGGTAAATTTTAAGTTTTTAGAGCCTGACATAAAAATCTTATCGAAAAGATAACAGTCTTTATTATTTTTGAGTGTTTATTACAGAATCCTAGTAGTCCATGCAGTTTCTGATATGCGAGGTAAGATATTGGGATAAAACGCATTTGTGTATAATTACAGGATTTTCTTTTCTCCACGTTAAACGCCTTTCCTTATGCCCATTTAAAGTCTGCATAGCTATGTATTCAGCGCTCAAGAAACCCGTGATAATGCAAAACTATATGTGTATACTCCACACGATAAACACTTACAAGAGTGAGTTGATCTATACACATGGAATTTAAGCACTATCGATGAAAATCGGACGGCTAAGCAAAATTATATTTACCGTCATATAATATATTCTGCCAAAAGTTATAATTGAACTTGATAAAAACTTGCTGGTGCGATCTGTACCTCTGTAAACGATTACATTCTATTGTGCATTATTTTTTTTTCTTTACCTAGATAAAAATGTCAAGGTTGTTCACGGTAAAAATGTGGGGAATACCTTATTCTTCAAAAGTTTTCACCTTACTTCTACAGATTTTTTGTTAAAAAAATCTTTTTGAGGAAAAAAACAAAAGCACGTGTTATCTTTTTGTTCTTTTAAAATATGTTTTTGGGTGTGTAAAAATGCTGTTGTCTGATTGGACAGAAAAATAATTACGTGTACTTGATGTACATTTATAGCAACTTTCAGTTATCGTTCTTGACTTTCATATTTAGAAATCGTCCAGACCTGTTAAATAAAGATATAAATTCAAACAATACACAGTATTCACGAGCATTTAACGTGTAAGATTCAATTACTTTGAATATGCATGTTCCGTGACCCATATGGTGTTTTACATCATTCCATGATAACGTCAAAAATATGGATTTTGAATATAAATTACATATTCATCAGCAGAGTGAACTTTTCTCTTTTTATGTCACACAGTAAACTGTAAACAATATTTTTTTTTACGTAGAAGTAAATAATATGACTAATCAAACTTCTAAAATTCAAATCAATACACGATAAATAACGAACGTCATCGGTATGCACAGGGTGTGCAGTCCGTACAGTCGGACGTTGTGCCAGATACATTAGAAAGTTTGAATAGGCATGCCCTCGCCCGCGTGGCACATTGGTTAGAGCATCTGCTCTAGAGTCAAGAAGTAAGGAGTCAATCCTGACGTCGCAGGTTCGAATCCAACTGTTGGACGTAGAGACCGGTCCTATGGATGAGACAGTATAAACCGAGGTCCCGTGTTACAGAAGGTGCTTGCCCGAAAATGATCCCAAAAAAGAAGAGTATAGGACAAAATTTGAATCTCTGTATCTCGATCGAAAGTGGTGGCGCGGCGTCTCCATGGGTGAAAAATTTTTTAGAGGGAAGTTAAATAATATACAATCAATCAATCAATCAAAGGTATATCCCATTGCATCAAATAAAAATGGCGCTTTCCGAAATTGCAAGTTACACATCGTTGAAAAATCGTGTAAACTAATTTCAAACCAATGAACAAATCAAACTTATTCGAAAAAAGTTGTTTGAATAAAACAGTTGGTCTGTTACGTCTTTTCGAACTTATTTAAATATGATTTTATGACTGACCGTTTTTCCTTTTGATGCTCAATGTCGCTTTTTATTTCATTTTAATTTTTTAAAGTTAGAATTTTACTATCTTTGTGTAAAGTAATGATAAAAAAGGTCAGAAAATGTCGATATCCGCTTACTTTGCTGAACAATTTATCTTTTGCTGAGGTATGTCACTCATCGGCTTTTTAGAAAGGCAGAACCTATTACTTAAAAATTATTAATCAAAATTAATTTTTTATGACATATCTAAATTAAACAAATGTAAATTGTTAAACATTCAATGCAAAACTGCTCAAGAAATCACAAAGAAGCAAAATTTATGAGGGAATATTTCTTGTGGTGGAAGGATATTTAGGAAAAAATTCTGCAAATCTCCACGTGCATAATTCGTATTCAATTAAATGTCTTGGAACTTAATCCTCACATACCGTACTTTTACTCGGAGAATATTGACCCTTATGATATGATAGGAAAATATTAAATATCGGTCTCAAATAATATTTTCTGAATGAAGGATATGGAGATAACGAACAATACAAAACAGGTTCATAAAACAATACCAAACAGGAGCAGAGCAAACACGGGCCTTCAAAACATCGGAGATGCGATTAGGTGGCATGGAGAAGTGAGCATCCCCTGCCGACCGTTCACACCCGCCGAGTGCTCCTGATCATGATCGGGAAATAATGGAAATCTCCGTCGTCAAATCAATGTATAAATAATGGACTTACAAAATTAGTATAAAAAACATCAGTCAGCATTTGACTCAATGATAAAATGTATTTGTTGATAAGGTCATTGTATCGACCAAACAACTGACGAAATGATGACTTTAATCAAAACTGCTGATATTCATGTTACATCAACTTGTCTGTCAATAACTTACCTCGTTTTATAAACTGTTCATACGTAGAGCATGCGATGGCAACGATTTTACCGGGCAACCCTCGTATATTATAATAATCATCTTCTTTCATTTTACCAAAATATCTACAGAAACAAGATGATATTAACTATAATATGCCAGGAATTCAAATATAAAAAAATCAATAATTCACAATACAGACAATTTATATATAATCATTCTATTTATTTCAGCATGCCCAACATGCATTTGTCCCATATGCTCAACTTCATCTCCATCACCAGAATGCAATTGTTCTACAACAGAGGTCACTTCTACAGGTATACGGCTTCTTTAATAAGTGAGGTTTTGTCTATATTCAAAAGTATACATGTAGCTTTGCAATAGTGAGTATTTTAAAATGTTTCACGATCTCATTATTTCATGATTATGTAACGAAGTATAAAAATTATGGAAAAAGTCGTAAGGAGGACAAAAAGTTTTACATAGAAAATTTGAAGGGACAAATATTTAAGAAAGGAAAGATAACATATTTGTGATATCTTTTATGTCTACATGTGTATGAATGTAGGGCGTCGTCTAGGCTAGCTAAAGGAACATAAGTGCAAACAAATTTGATTTTTTTTTGTGTGTGTTATAATAAAATTACCAATAAAAATGTACCAAAAATAACATATGAATTCTTTTTGTTGTTGCTTTAATTTGTGCTATTATTTGTGACATTTTCAACCTTAATTCGATAAAAGAACCATAGGCAAATACATATAAGAAACATAAAATACAGAAACCGCTTCTTTTTGTCAATTCATTTGATAATACATGCAATGATAACATGTAAATTGAATGTACATTTCAATATTTGCAGTTTACCAACCTTGTTCAACTACATCTCTAACAACAGAATATAGTGATTCTAGAACAAAGGCTTCCGCTACAGGTGCATATCAGACTTAGTCTCTTATTTGTTATGACCTCTTTTCTCTTTTTTTTAAAATAAGAGGATTCCATATCTGATATATGAATTATGAAATGGCTAATGATTCATTTCATCCCATGCTTAGTCAATAAATCAAAGCACCCCCAGTGTTCAAAAGCCCTACTGAACTTTACTGTTCTATAAACTTACATGACATCCTTCACTGTTTAATAGCCCTACATAGGATCCCTCTTTATACCCCCGCTTGAAAAGGGGGGGTATACTGTAGTCGGTATGTCCGTCCGTCCGTCTGTCCGTCTGTAGGCTTTAGGGTACCCATCTCTTATCCGAAACTCCTCTTATACCACTGAGTGAAATTTAATGAAACTTTCACAGAATCTTTATTGCATATTGCCATTGTGTACCTCCTATTTTACTTTTTGATCCAACACATATTTTGGGAACCCCGGCCACAGCAAAACATGGATTTTCTCATCAGTTATAACCATATGGGAAGCGGGGGTATCATTTAGTGAGCTCATTGATCACAGTACCTCTAGTTGTTTAAGTTCAGTGGCAAGAGTTATCAAAGAGAAAACAAATAGAAATGGAAATATGAAGAAGTAAGTAAATCAATTACACATGTAGACAAGTAGGCAGATTAATTGAACTGGATATGTCTAATAGAAATAAAAATAAAAGTCATATTTAATTTGTTAGTTTACTGGCATGGTAATTTGAAGGAAAAAAAAACTTTTTTCTCTCGCCAAAACATTACCGAAATCCGTACTAAAAGAAACCTGCAAGTATATGTTAAAAATGACGTGAAAAGAATAAGAAAAACATTAATAATCGTACATGTAAATGATGTGTAAGGTATGTGGTTTTAAGATTAATGGATTGGTTGTATATTGTTCAACGTCCCGCGATTTTAAGACAAGAGGCCCACGGGCCTTATAGGTCACCTGAGTATCATGTAACAACTTTCCAGCGATTGTATTTGGTTCATGTTTTAATCCAAAATCCGTGAAATTCACAAATTTTGAAGAAGGCACCATTGCTTATCAAAGGGCAAATTTCAAAGCATTAATTTATTTTTAGTCAAAGTACCCCCCTGGTACCCCTGACCCAGCGTCCCTGAAAGTCTCTATTTTGAAAGAGGCCCCTTTCTTCATTATAAGGCCAGCATTTTTTTGTTTGGGTTTAGTCATGAGCATGAGAATAAAAAAGTCCCAAAGGAGAAGGAAATCAAAAATTTTTTTTGATAAATCAATTATTAACATTTGTACATTCTTTTTTTATGCTATTATAATAGGCTCCTTACCAATAGACACATAATGCTTACAAATAGGAAAGTAAAACATTTAATTGCTTATTTCATCATCTGCCAGTTTGGGCCAGTTATATAAATTTTGTGATGTTGGTCAAAATATATTTTAAAAAATCAATTCTTTAAAAGTCTTTCAATATATCTTCATTTTTTTAAATATGTATTAGGTGAATGTGTAGACATTGTTCTAAAATTTAATCCTATCATAAAACAGACAGGGGGTATTGCGGGTGTAGGGTGAACATTTTTTCAATCAAGTGTAAAATAATTTTTCTGGCTGATACAAATAATACTACATGCCTGTATATATTTGTATAGTCTTGCCTTAACAATTTCTTCCTCAAATGGACTGAACTTCTCCCATAGTTTTATCCATTACATCTGATGCATTAGCAACCCTTTTCTGAAGAATGATGCTTAGACTGTAAGCTATAACAGAGACCTAAAGTTGGCTAAACAATGTTGCTGCCCCCTGGCAATATGCAACAGCTACCACGGGCAGTTTAAAACCTGGGAGAGGAAAATAATTTACAGACAGATACTTTTGAAACGAATACATAATTATCTCACCAGCATGTCATTGTGCAACAAAGTCGTCAGCATTTTATTTGTCCTTTGAACAGGTGAAACTTTTTAGATGGCACTCGTATCGATGAATTTTACACTAAGCCAAGCTATCTTTCAGATCTCGCTTTATTTACCCGCCGTTTCATCTTAAAACCGGAAGTGCGAGTTCATAAATGTGAAATCTCGATCCCGACTCAAATTTGACATAGGAAAGAAAAAAAAATTGTTTTATTTTTTTCTGAACATTCAAAACATTGAGCGGAGGGTTTGTAAAACTGAAAATAAAATAAATCCTGGCCTTAAATATGTAATTAGTTCATTAGCATATTAACCAGGATGTTCAAAGAATTCATGCATTTCAATATATAATCATTAGAGCCCCACCCCAAAACAAGAACCCCTGACCCTGGGGCCATAAAATTCAAAATTTTGGTAGAGGCACTCTTGCTCATCATAACTATGTACTTAGTTAGTTTATTTAATACCCAGGAGCAGAGGAGAAGATTTTCAAAGAATTCATGTATTTTCACTATATAATCAATAGAGCCCCGCCCTAACACCAGAACCCCTGACCCTGGGGCCATAAAATTCACAATTTTGGTAGAGGCACTCTTGCTCATCATAACTATGTACTTAGTTGGTTTATTTAATACCCAGGAGCAGAGAAGAAGATTTTCAAAGAAATAATGCATTTTCACTATCTACTTATTTAGCCCCGCCCTAGCACTAGAACCCCTGACCCCAGGGCCATGAATTTTACAATTTTGGTAGAGGACTCATTGCTGATTACAATCATGCAAACAGTTTGACTGCTTGATGTCCATGAGTAAAGAAGAAGATTTTTAAAGATTGCATTAATTTTAGTGGTTTTGGCCCCACCCCTCAGGCCCCAGGGGGGCAGGGATCATGAAATTCACAATTTTTGTTCCCCTTAACCTATAGATACTTTGTGCCAAATTTGGTTGAAATTGGTTCAGTGGTTGCAGAGAAGAAGCTGAAAATGTTCAAATGTTAACGCACGACGCACGACGGACGACGACGGACAAAAACAGATAGCAATAGGTCACCTGAGTTTACTCAGGTGACCTAATAAGGTACAGATTCAATTCATTTTACAGTAAGCCCTTTTTTCTAAAATATGAAAGTGATATAAGAAATCAAACTTCAATTTTTCTGAATCAAAGGATTTCCTTGCAGTAAGAATACACAATTTTTTTTCTCATCTGACCTCCTTAATGCTAGTTGTAATGTCATTAACCTGTTCATTTTCCCGTATTATCATAAAAAAATTGTAAAAAAAAATCAATTCTATTGAAATTTTCGCATACTTTGCATGCATCGCCCACAAAGATTTTGAGACATGTAATTTTTCAAAGCAGATTACCTTGGCGACGGTGGCAGGCACTATTTTCTGAAGGAACATAAGCACAGAAATGAGACATTTTAAGGCTTTTCTGCATTAAACTAAGAAATGTACCAAATAAATGAAGTCATATTTCCAGAATTGTCCTCCTTCATGACATATTCTTCAAATGATTTATCATATCTACATGTATATGTATCTACTCAATCTTATTAAAGCCACTTTCATAACTTTTTAAGAAGTTGTACTGTTCGTTATCTTTTATTTCTTTTCTTAAGCATTCCTTAAGCGTGAAAATGATTGCATAAGATATAATGTTTAGCAAAGAATACCTATCTTTTCAGCTTGTCCTCCATGTCCAATAGTTTCTCCATTGCAAGCAAATAACTTAACAAGTGTCACAACAGAGACTTATACTGAAGGTATGCTTTGATCATTTTTTCTAATGTGTAAAATTTAAATGATTGATAAAAAATATTTTAACTTATTTTACCGAGCAATTGTATCGATATATCTCCAGTGAATCACGCATATGATACGAAATGATCAATTGGGAATCTTAACATTTCAATGAATCTGCTTTGTTTTTCAAAATCAAAAAGACATAAAAATTTTAATTAATTATTATAAATTATCCTCGATAGGTTGCAAAGTACTTGTATTTTTTATTTATGCGAAGACAGCCCGTTACTAGTATGTTCAGAAAATAAAAATTTATTTCAGTTTCACATTCGCCTACCAATTATTCTTATAATCGACACTAGATGTACCAATATTAATATACAAATGTATATATATATATTTATTACTATTCTAATTATTTTCTTATGCACTTTTTTTTGTTTTTTTTTTTTGCCCCCTTAAACGAAGTTTCTGGGATATATAGTTTCTGTCGTGTCCGCCCGTTGTCTGTCCAGCTGTATCTCTGTCTGTCTGTTTGTCTGTCTCTTTGTCCTCAAAAACTTTAACCTTGTCCATAACTTTTGATTAAGTAAATCTACGATATCTATATCTAAATAAAATATAAGTTTATTTTTCTGACAAGACCTTTCTTTGGGTACCACCAAATTTGACTTTTTGACGTTAACCTTAGAGTTTGACCCATTTTACTCAAAAATTCCAAACTATTACTTTTGCATTATCTTTTGAATTGTAGATACCAGGATATTTATTTTTCACATGCATATATTTTTTTGTGGGAAGACCTTTCATTGGATACCACTAACCTTGACCTTTTGACCATGGCCTTGGAGATTTTAATACTTATAAAACATTTTAACCTTGGCCATATCTTTTAGACAGTAAGGGATAAGGCTTTCATACTTCACATTTGTAATTCTTCTGAGAAGACACTTTATTGGATACCAAGAACTTTGATCCTTTGACCTCAACCATGTAGTTTGACCCACTTTTAAAAGCAAACCTTGACCATAAGTGTGAAAGGGTTAGGGTTAGTGCTTTCCTACTTTATTTATTTGATCCTTTTGACTAGACCTTTCATCTGATAGCAAGACATTTAACCCTTTGAACTTGACTTTGGAGTTTATATACTTTTTAAAAAATTTTAACCTTGCCTACAACATCTGAACGGTAAGGGTAAGGGCTTCCATACTTCACATATGTATTTTTTGTGGCAAGACCTTTCATTGGATACCAATGTTTTGACCTTTTGACCTTGACTTTGGAGATTTTCGTACTTATGAAAAAACTTTAACATTGGCCATAACTTTTGAAAGCTATGGGCTGGTGATCTCATACTTCACATATGTAAACCTTGTAAAGGGACCATTTATTGAATACTAAGTATTTTGATCCTGTGAGCTTGAACTTGGACTTTGACTTACTCTAAAAGTAGATCTACATTCACACTATACGTCATTTACGAATATTAAAACCGGAACGAAGCTTCCTTTTACCCAGATGTGATTTTTGAACTATATTGGTTTGACTTTTACTTACCGTTTTAAATATCCGGTGACGATTTTGCTCGAAGTCGGTCGCGTAAACAAACTTACAAACTCTGATTTTACAGTTTAAGGACAAATGAATTACAAAGAGAAGGCTGAGAACAACTTTCGGTTGATAGAGATATAATTAGGTAATAAAACGACTTTTGTACATACAACTTTGTTATTACAAGTATACACTCAAAATTTAACAGTAATAATACAGGAAAATGTGACAATATATTACTTCTGGAAGAAGGAAATCATGGGGGGCTCATACCATGAAATGTGATGCGTTAACATCTAATTTTTTTAGCTTATTCTTTTTCTTAAATGTTATTTAGTAAATATGATGCAAATTTTCGAATTTGAGTCCATAATTGTTTTTGAAATGACCGAGATTGACCTGTGAAGCATATATTCTCAGATTAAATTTTGATACGTTAGCCTAACAAAGTGCAAATTTATAATAATTCATGCAAAACGATAATTATATATGGTTTACTAACAGGTTTCTACTCTATTTTGTGTATTAGAATTGAATATTTAGACTGTAATTTATTTATATACAACAAAATCTTGGATAGCTAAGTTTCAGTATTTTTACATTTCGGGGTACACTTTTTATACACCGATAGGCAATAGCGGAAAGTAAACATGTAGATATATAATTTTTCTGATGTCTGTTCATTGCTGGAATGTATGTCTATCTAATAAAAACAGATTTTTTTTAAGATTGAGCCCATTTAGTGCCGATTGTAGAACTAGCTTAAAAAGCAAACATTGAACATAACTTTGAAAGGGTTAGGGCTAGTGCTTTCACTAGTATAAGTCATTGTCAGAGATTTTTTCATCAACAACAACAAAAATAAATAAAAATAGAATAAAAACAAAACAAAGGAAGCAATAAGTTAATGTTTTACCGATGATCACACAATTAAATCGTATTTCAGAATCTCATTTCTTGGAAAGGTGAAACTAATTATAAAACGAGATAAAATTAATGATTGTTTATTTGTTTTAGGGTTATGTTATGATCAAGGGTTGAGGACTGAAGTGATAGTGTGTGGAACATTGAACATTATACTGACGGGAGTCGTTATCGCCCTATCTTTCCATATAATTAGAACTCAAAAAAGGTATAAAACTGTTTTGAAAAGTGCTTATATTTTTAAAAAAAACCTAATTTTATTAAGCAGAATCTGCAGAACATCGATAGTTAAAGCGAGCGACTGGGGTTTCCAATGTGCTATACTCCGCACATTGTAGAAAACTGAAGCTTATTTACTATTTAAAAGCACATAATTAATAAAATTTAACAAGACTAGAAAATGAAATATTACAAAATAAAATAAAGATTTTAAATAACTTATTTTAAAAAAGATTTTTCATAATGTACATGTAGATAGATTGACGGTATTTTTGTTTTTGCTTTTAATTTTAATGTTTTTAAGACACATTGAAGTTTTTTCACAAGGTTGTAATAAAATATGTTATAAAAGCAAATATATATACAAATTAAACCCTTGAATCAAAAACGTAAAAATGATAGAATCTCAAGATTTTTTTATACATTGTGTGTTGTTTTGTATAAATCCTTTGTATCTGTCATATTTTGTATAACAGCATAAAGACGAAAAAAAATCGTTCATTGTTGACATCTTGAGATGAAACCCCAGTCGGTTTTCTGAAATATTTGTCAATTGTTTTCTAATTGTTATCTATCTATATATGATGATTTTCATTACTATTGAACAGAATGCGTTCTTCCTATGAAAGTATGGACTTTCAGAATTCAGAATCTGCTGCGACAACTAGTGTTTCAAATTTTGCCTATAGCACATTGAATTCAGAGCAGCCTCGTCCTCAAAGCGTACAGCATAATATGGAACAATCCAGTGTGTCTGAATATGTAGAAATGGCGTGACACAAGAAGTTTAAATAACAATGCAAAATATAGGAAGCCTACAAATCTTAGTGAAAGAAAAAATCAAAAAAGAAAAAGTTCTTAAATAAAAAAAATTAGCACAACTTCTACAAAACTTTTAAACAAACGAAATATTTCAGAAGGATTCGATGAAATTATGACATCAATGCAACTAACAAAACATAACATTTAAACAAATTTGTATCATAGATGTATATAACAAATTAATTTGACAATAAATGCGTATGTGTGCAACTGCTAACATATATACCTGAGCAAAAAACAAATGCATATGTAATGTATTTCCGTATTATTCAAGTCATTTCCATGATCTGAGTATTACAATCGTTTATGTGAGCAGTAAAAAGTTACGCCAATCCGTTATTCAATGTAAATGATAAAGAAGAACAGCTTATACAAGCAACAAAGTACTATTATTTCTATTTCCTCATTGATCAATGTTTTCTTTAAAGAAGAATATGAACAAAAAGTAGTAATTGCTGCTATAGTAATTTACCAAAAAATTGAATATTACCTAAACAAGTGATAAATGGAGCTAAAAAGCAAATATCGTGAATTGTATGTGAATTTCATATGGATTTCAGTTAATTAAACAGATATGTTAATTCATTTTCATTGATTATAATTATTCTCTTTTGATGACAGTCAGCTATATGCGTATCCCGGTCGACCTTTCCTCTGTCATTCTTGACAAAAAAATGCCACAGAATAACAATAAGCTGATACTTCAAATGATAAGATTTTAAAAAAAAATGGAAAGATTGCCTTCTAAAATACCTGGAAAATCCGGGTAAAGCATGGTTTTACGAAAAATTTCGGTTAATATGTATTAAATTCAAAACATTGGGTAAGATTCCGTGCGAATGTGTGGAAGAATTATTTTACCGACAGGACAGTGGGATTCTAGCAGCACTTTTTAGACAAAACTATATCTTTCACTAAAAGAAATTATTTAATCTCCGGGGTATAGTTGTTCTGTTAGCATTTTTATTAAGGAAAATTTCGCTATTTATAGAAGTCACGTGATGCCGTGGTGGTGGTGCCCCTTGTTGCATTAGACACGCTTTTATCTTTATGCAATAGATAATAATAGTTTACGCTTATCAGCGATTCTGGTAAATTATCAAACTTAATTTTCTTTAAAAAGTATAAATTTCACGAAAAAAAGACGTATATGCTTCCTTAAAATACCTGGGCATTTCGCGTGCATAAATTTGGCAAAATCACGTAGAGAAAAGTTCAAATAGATTATGTTTTAAATGTTCATTTTTTAATTGACTGAAGAATGTGAAAGGGTTTCTGTAAACCAACTATTAATCACGTCTGATCGGTCATTAAATTTTTTTGCGATTATTCGGTTTGAATGAAATCCGCGAAGATAACTTTTTGCGACTCGGGGAACTTTCTCTACAAATAAAAAACAAAATAGATTATTCATGGCGATAAATGTTCGCGAATTAATAAAGGCCGCGAAACTCGGGGATATTTTTGCACGCTAATAAAGGTTGG